GGGGGTAGGGGGCTAGGGGAGGGATAGCAGAGGGTGGGGGGATTGGGGAGGAATAACGTTAGGAGAAATACCTAATATAGATAACGGAGGGATGGATACAGCAAACCACCATGGCAAGTGTATACCAATGTAACAATCCAGCATGATCTGCACATGTACCCCAGAACTTAAAGAATAAAAAAAATATTGGGGCCCTCCTAGAATCAGGAGATGATGGTGCTGGGTTACAGTTACAGCAGTAGAAAGATCAAGGACCGGCACTGATTATTTACACGCCAGGCTCTTTGCTAAGTGCTCCACCCGTGGTAATGTGGCTGACCCTCACAAGGACCGCATAAGTTGCATTATTGTCCTTATTTTCAAGAAGAGAAAAAGTGCTTTCAACCTTTGCATATCAATTGCCTGTGAAGAACATTAACATTTGTACGACACCCTGGATCGAACAGAAAGTGCTGCTGCTTCTGGCCATGGGCTCTGATCGCCGGGGACCCAGGAGATTAACTTCTCTGGAATTCTATTCCCCAGGGCTCCTGACTTCAACTGCAGGGAAATCTCTGCCCACAGTTAAAAATGCACCCACAGCCTGGGGCAGCTGCCCACGTGCCCATTTGTTTGTTTGTGTGCTGAGGCTGGAAATAAGCACAGGGAGACCTAAGGGGTGTGGGCAGAGCCTCTGAGAGGTCACTGCTTTATGTCTTGTAACTTCTGCTTTTTTATTTTGGAAATGTCCTATTTCTTACTTAGCAGAGCATTATCTACTAATCCTGTCCGTCAAGTGCAACCCCAGGTGATCTGCCAGTGCCCTGACCTCACACTGTTACTGGCCATATGCAGAGAACCAAAACCGATCATAGTGTGGCTTCCAGTTGTGGGGCGGAAGGCGTCTGGGCACTTTCACCCCAACTCTGATAGGGCCACTGAGTGCTCACTGTGATTTCCCAACAAACACGGCACCTTGAGGGATCGATTACCCGGCAGGTGAAGATCAAGGCACCTGCGTGCCGATGCATGCGGTCACCTACATCCACACACACATGCATATGCATAGCCATGCACATGTGCACACAGGCACACACAGGCACATACATGCACACACACAGTCACATACGTACACACACAAGTGCATGCACACACATACACCCCGCACTGCCTACCATAGGAAATAGCAATAAAACCCTTACCACTTCAGAAAGAGTAGCTCAGGTTCACTTTGTTCCTGCCTCTAAAGATCCCAGAAGTTTTGTGTATGTGCATTACAAAACAAAAAGCATCCATTTAAAATCATCAACATTATTTGAACATTGGGAGATAGGAGGTGGTTATGGCCAGTCCTTTGCTATTCATATGTAAGATGAGACTCAGAGCTAATCATCTTCACAATGACAATCACAAGAGCAGTAATAGTAGTAATGTGACAATGGCTGTAATGTACTGGAAACCTCCTGTGTGCTAGCCATTGGCCTGCGTTAGTTATCATTGTTGAGGCCCAGGGAGGTTGCGATATGACTATAGGCATGAGACAAGTGAGCAGCAGGACGAGATGGGTGCTCAGGCTCTCACCTGCAGGACCAGCATCCCTTGTACCAGCCCTCCTTGTTCAAAAGCAACCTGACCCCACAGGAGCCACTCCCAGGCCGGTACCCACCTGGAGGGAATGGAAGCCAGCCCAGCTGGCGCCGGGTCAGAGGTAAAGCCCTGACTAACCCAGCACTGCAAATATTGACATGGCATCCCAGGTACAAGCTGGCGCCTCTTGGGACCCAGTGACCAGCTGGTGCCTCCTGGGATGACACCTCCAGACTGTCAGGGGTGGGGCACTGTTCACCCCGATCTCTGGGAAAGGGGGATGCATGGCTCTGGGGAGAACGTTCCTGCTTTTGTGTTCCATCTGTCTCACAGTTGCTGAGAACTTGCTGAGCCAAACATTCATCCACACTGAGCACCCTCAGCTCTGGGCCTGAAGCCACGGAGCACTGTTCACACGTGATCTCAGAGTTACCACACACACTGGGGGTGGGGTGGGGGGACTGCCTGTCCTTGTGAACAAGGTTTTGATTCATGCCCATCACCTGCTGACAAGATCCACTCCGACTCCAGGTCAGAGAGCTTGGGGCAGGGAAGGGGGTGCAGCCGGATGTCCCGGGTCCCCGCTGCAGAGCATCCCCGGAAAGGGACATCATTTCCTGCCTCCAAACTGCACAACTTTCCACAGTAGACTGGGATGATGCACCTCGGTCGCACTGAGTGTAGATGGCCCCTCCGTGCGCCCCCGTTTCCACCTCCTCCTCCCCAGGAGCTTGCCACCCTCCCCACGGGCTGCTGACCTCGGCGTCCCCTGCGCTCCTTTCCCACTTGCCCCACTCACCCCTGGTCGTTTCCACACAAAGGGGACCTGCGGCCTCTCGCTGTAGAACAGGGAGGAATTGCTGGCCGGGAAGTCTGCATCCTCAAACAGCGTGCCTCTCTGCAGGCACTCCTGCCTCAGCTGCTCAAAGCTCTGGCCTGAGGAGTGGGTGGTCCGGGCGTCCTTGGGAACTGGGAGTGCCTGGGGCCCTGGAGCTCGGTAGAAGTAAGGCATGGCTGCTCCCTGGAAGGCCGGCTTGGGCCCGGCAGTGGATGGGAAAGGAAGTGAAGGAGCGAGCTGTGTGTGCCAGTCAAGAAGGAACAGCTCAAAGGGCCCCTGGACTGAGTGGCCCTCACCTCCACCTGTTTTCTGGGCACCTCCCTGTTAGGCTGAGATGGGACACGCCCTGATGGAAAACAGCAGAGAGAGCCCTCTGCACACTCTGCGCTCCTGCAGACCCAGAGGCAGCTCTGGGGCCTGGCGGATTCCACTCAGGCGGCACCTCTGCTTAGTGGACTCACAAGTGGACTCACGAGTGGACTCACGGGGCCCAGTGGGAGAGAGAGGCTTACTTCAGAAGGAAGGCGAGCAAGAAACCCAGTTGGTCCAGGAGGTGGCTTTATGGAGACGTGCACGGTGTGGCCTGGAGGCACATCTCCTACATCAGAGAATGGCAGAGTTTTGCAGTCGGAAGGGAGCCAGGTGAATGACAACAGGAGGTACCATGTGAACACAGCTTGCACAGCACCTGCACGGGCAGTCCCATCGTGGTTTAGAGCTGGCATCAGCAGACTTTCTCTGTAAAGGCCCAAATAGGGAATATTTTCAGCTTTGCGGGCTGTCCAGTCTGTGCTGCAACTACTGGACTTTCCTGTTGTAGTGACAAAGCAGCCACGCACGTGACACAGATGAATGGGTGTGGCAGTGTTCCAACAAAACTTTATTTACAAAAGCAGGTGGGGGCCAAATTTCGTCCAAGCTGACCCCTGATAGAGGAGAACTCACAGAGGACATCTGCTCCTCCTCTAGCACACACACGCCCCCCTAGTGCTCTAGACATCATATTAATAAAGCTCCTTGCTGTTACAGCTCCACAAATGGGATCTTATATCAGAAAAAATGAATGTTAGAGGATGGAGGTGGTTTGATAAATATGTTTGCCCGTAGAAATGATAAATACACGCCAGGCATGGTGACTCACACCTGTAATTCCACGCCTGTCATTCCAGCCTGGCCAACATGATGAAACCCTGTCTCTACGAAAAATACAAAAGGTTAGCTGGGTGTGGTGGCAGGTGCCTGAAATCCCAGCTACTCAGGAGGCTGAGGTAGGAGAATCACTGGAACCTGGGAGGTAGATGTGGCAGTGATGTGAGATTGTGCCACTGCACTCAGCCTGGGTGACAGAGAGAGACTCTGTCAAAAACAGAGAGAGAAAGAAAGGAAGAAAGAAAGAAAGAGAAAGAAAAGAAAGAAAAGGAAGAAAGGAAAGGAAGAAAGGATAAATACTCGAGGGGAGAGATAGCTTAAATACCCCAACTTGATATTACACATTCTATGCATGTAGCAAAATAGCATGGGCACCCTATCAATACGTACAAATATTATGTATCAATAAAAATAAGTAAGTTAAAGTATTAGTTACCATGTGAAAGCCCTGATGTTCTAAGCACTTTATAATGATTTCTGTGTGATTTGCTAACTAGTCAAAGCTGGGGTTTGGAGAAAGGAGTCGAGTTAATGTGCAGTTAGTTAAAAGGCAGTGATGTTCATTTTTATATAAGCTCACAGTTCCAGGAATGTGCACTCAGTCTGACACATGTCCTGTCTAGTAGATCCTGCATTTTTTTTTTTTTTTGAGACAGAGTTTCCCTCTTGTTGCCCAGGCTGGAGTGCGGTGGCACGATCTTGGCTCACCACAACCTCTGCCTCCCAGGTTCAAGTGATTCTCCTGCCTCAGCCTCCAACTAGCTGGGATTGCAGGCATTCACCACCATGCTCAGCTAATTTTGTATTTTTAGTAGAGATGGGGTTTCTCCATGTTGGTCAGGCCGGTCTCGAACCCCCAACCTCAGGTGATCCGCCCACCTCAGCCTCCCAAAGTGCTGGAATTACAGGCATGAGCCACTGCACCTGGCCAGATCCTGCATGTGGTTTTCCAGGGGAGGTGCAGACATGAGAGTTGGGGATATTTAGGTTTTACTCTGCTATGGGCCGATTGCTTGTATTCCCCCCAAATTTGTTTGTTGAACCCATACCTGCAAAGTAACAGTATTAAAAGTGGGGCCTTTAGGGGGTGATTAGGTCAGGAGGGTGAAGCACTCATGAATGGGATTGGTGCCATTATGAAAGATTAGATCTCAGAAAGCCCCCTCCTCCCTTCCACCACGTGAGCATACAGGAACCAGGAAGTAGACCCTCACCAGACATGGACTCTGTCAGTGCCTTCATCATGGACTTCCAGCTTCCAGAACTGTAAGCAACAAATTTCTGTTATTTAGAAGCCACCCTGTCTGTGCTGTTTTGTTATAGCAGCTTGAATGCACTAAGACATATTCCCAGTTTTGCCTTGGGTGATCCTGGGCACATTATCCTAGCTGTCTGCCCCTGCTTCCGAGTTGTGAATCAGGACAATCGGCGCTGCCTCCTAGAGGCATGGTGGGTTTATGCCAACAAAGCCGCTTGCAAAGTTGGGCTCAGGCAGGAGGTCAGGAGCTGCTGATTCCTCCCTTTCCCCTATCCTCTCTCTGCACCCCCTGCCCTTCCCACAGATGCTGACTTTCATGGTCTCCTTCTGAGCCTGACTCGCCTCAACTTGCAAGGCTTCTCTTGTGTCTCTTTGTTCACACAATGCAGGACTTTGGAACTGGGGTCCTTTGGCTGGGACCAGAGCACAGTTCTGGCCTGTCCAAATGATTCTTGGCTAGAGATGATGGAGCTGCCTGCGAGCGTCCCCTTGCCCGCTGCCCTGGCAGACAGCTCTGTTTTGAAATGATTAAGGAGGGCGACCTAGTGAAACAGGTGTGGCAATGTGAGGGCCATTCATTTCTAGTGACACTTTGGCGGGGAAACGATCACAAGCCTGGATCTCTGAGAACATCCCCCTCAAATGCCCCAGCAACTGAGAAAGGACCTTGAAGTAAATTTCAGCACTGTCCAGAGTCGGAAAGGGTTTGCTTGATGCGGACCCACCCCAGCTTCAGGGATTTACGTTCTCATTCTCCTCCTGATACAAACACCTCCTCCACCTGATACACATACCACTTCCACCTGATCCACACACCTCAGTCCTTCCACCTGGAACTTACCTACGTATTGGAAAAACCTGCCTTTTTCTTTAGAGCCTTATTGCAGTTGCTAGGTGATTGGAGAATTGCATTGTCATTGTGAGTAAAGCAAGCATGCCTCAGAGCAGGAAACACACCAAAAGGTTTAACAATCGTCCAGAACCTCGGCTGGAGTTCCTCCTGCGCCTTAGCGCTGCGGGACTCTGAGGACATCTGCGGGAGGGAGTGCGTTCTCAGGAGTTTCGGCCGGGTCGATCTTCCTGACCCCCAAAGTCTGCCCACAGAGCCCTGGGCCCATCTTCCTGCAGAGCTCACGGCCCCAGACTTCTCCACGACTTTGTCTTAGCGGCCTAATTCTGCTCCCAGCTCAGCCCAGTGCAGGGCAGAAGCATGATGCACACTTGCTGAGTAAACATTGAACCGACGCCTCAAGAAAACAGATAGCATTCTTGGGTCTCTCCGTTTTCCAAACCTTCACTTCTCTGGATGAACAATAGTTACAGAACCTGCAGCCACGCAGTCTGAGGCCGGCTGGGCCTTGCACACTTCCTCACCCACGCTGGGAAATGCTCTGAGCGGCTCGGAGGGAAAGGGCTCCGAGCTTGGGCAGAGAACCACGTGCACTTGTTTTAATAAGCTCAGCCCGATTGCCGCCAGCCTAGAGATGCCAGCAGCTTTGAGCCACGCGGGGACCATGCGCCATGTTAACTCTGTTTTCCTCTCCTTAGCAGAGCAGTCTGCGGAAGTGATTTCTACATGGAGTGATCCTGACCATCTGCGGCCTTCCCGGCTCTCTTTTTTGCGCTGTTCTGTCTCTCTCCTCCACACTCGGGCCTGCGGCAAACTCCCTTTGTTTCTCTTCTTGTTCATCTCGCAGGGCAGCAGGATGTGAACATAGTGCCTGGGTGGCTCTGGGATGCCATGGGGCAAAACCCCAATTACGAACACTCTGAAGCTTCACACGGTGCAGGGAGACATCCCCGAGGACCACAGCCGGTCCGGGGCTCACAGCAGGGCTCGCGTTTTGAGGGATTTGCCAAACAGCCTGGCTCCCGCAGAGAGAAGTGTCCTGTGTTCCACTCCTGAGGTGGGCTGAGTGAGCCCGCCCGGCTGGGATGTTTGTGGCCCCTCAGCCTGCAGCGTGGAGGATGGAGTGGGCTGCCGCGGAGGGTGGGAGAGGGGAAGAGAGGCAGGGGACCTGCGCAGGTGTCCAGGTGAGATGCGCTGAGGTTAACTCTAGACGTAACGGAAGTGAAGGCGGGAAGGGGGCAGATTCTTCTAGGAGAACTACCGTCAGGGCGTTCTGCTGGGGCGCAAGGATGGAGGTGTGAGGGTGGCGTCCTGCTTTCAGACTCAAGCAAATGGGTGACATTGGTGACAGGAGGAGGAGAGGCAGACTTGGAAGAAAAGTTGAACACTTTGGATATGTTAAGAGTAAGACGGCTGGGCACAGTGGTTCACGCCCGTAATCCCAAGCACTTTGGGAGGCCGAGGCAGATGAGTCACCTGAGGTCAGGAGTTCAAGACCAGCCTGGCCAACACAGTGAAACCCCAACTCTACTAAAAATACAATTAGCTGGGCATGGTGGGGAAGCGCCTGTAATCCCAACTACTTGGGAGGCTGAGGCAGGAGAATCTATTGAACCTGGAAGGCAGAGGCTGCAGTGAGCCGAGAGGGAGCCACTGTACTCCAGCCTGGGCAATGAGCGAGACTCCATCTCAAAAAGAAAAAGTAAAAAAACACCCTTGTGGGAAGTAGAAAAGTTCCTTTTTAAAGTTTCTTTTCTTGTTAAAGAATAAGTGTGCTAATAACTTTGTTAAGCCCTATTGTATGTAGCTGTTAGACATGCCATGCTTACAGGCACATAGTACATTCTATGTCCTTGTACTTTAACCAAGATATCTGTGCTGGAGGTGCTCACAGGCATGTCCTAGCTCTCCATTGCTTTTACCTGTTTAGAAAAGTTTTAAGTTATTAGCCAATCAGGTTTTAGTTTAGAGTGTGAGGTCTGGTTCCAGCCAATGGAGATCAGACATAGCAGTAAGGACGACCCCAAATGC